TATCTCGTTTCTGCAACGTGTAGGAACTTGCTCACGTAGTACATTGGTTGTTGTATTTTGTCAACTTCTCTTATCAAGACAGATCTAACCACCTTGTCACTTGCAGAGAGGTAGAGTTTGACCTCATCCCCAATTTTAGGTTTGGTTAGCTGGGGAGGCGAACTAAGGTATTGCTTTAGCACGTCAAAGGCGAACTGACACTCCTCAGTCCACTTGAAGGCTTGGTTTTTCTTTATAGCCTTAAAGAAGGGAAGACACTTCCCATCTGATTTAGACATAAATCGGTTCAAGGTTGCTACCCGTCCAATCAGTCTCTAGGTCTCCTTAACCGAGCTAGGTGGTCTGATATCTAGGATAGCTTGGATTTTCTCGGGGTTTGCTTCAATACCACGCTAGCTGACAATGTAACCCAGGAACTTACCCGAAGTCACACCGAAAGCACACTTGTTTGGGTTTGATTTTAGATTATGTTTTCTTAAAGCGTTAAAGGCAAGATCCAAGTCGACAATCAAATCTTTTGAAAAAGAGTTTTCACTACCGTGTCATCAACATAACATTCTATTTTGTCTCCAATCAAATCAGAAGAAAACATAATTTACAAGGTGCTGGAAGGTCATTCTAGTGTTTTTCAATTCAAAGGGCATGACCTTGTAACAGTACAAGTTCGTTTCATTCATGAAGGCAATCTTTTCCTAGTCTTCTAGATCCATCAGGATCTGGTTATAGCCTGAATAGGCGTCCATGAGGTTGAGCAGTTCGAACCCTGAGGTCGCATCCACTAGGCGATTTATGCAAGGTAGGGGAAAGCTGTCTTTTGGGCGAGGTTGATTCAGGTCTGTATAGTCTATGCACATACGCCACTTGCCATTTGCCTTCTTCACCAGAACTAGATTCACTATCCAGCTCGGGTATAGGACTTCCTTCATGAAGTCCGCTGCTAGTAACTTTCCCACCTCTTCATCTACTATTTGCCACCTTTCTAGGGCGAGGTTCCTCTTCCTTTGCCGAATAGGTCTAACTCGGGTATAGGGTTTATGCCGGGCATTTTTACAACCGACCAGGCGAATACATATAAATCATTTAACAAAATACTTACCAGCTCGGAGCGCATAGGTTCTGTCAGGCGAGCTCCAATTTGTAGTGTTTTTCTGGGTTCTGTTGCAGAGATGGGGACCATAATGGTCACTTCTGTTGGGCGAGCTCACTCTTCAACATTTTCCGGTGGTGGCTCCAAGTCTATGTCAGCGGCTATCTTGCCCTTTGCCTTCAAAGCTGCTACGTAGCATTTTTTAGATTCTAGCTGACCTCCACGCAACACCCCTATGACAGTGTCTATCGGGAACTTCAATGCTAGGTGGTATGTCGAAACAATGGCTCGTAAAAGTGTGCAAGATAGGTCACCCCAGTATTGCAATGTAGGGGGACGAGGTGGCAACTACCAGGAAGTCATGTTCGAAACGTGCTGTATGAGGAGGGGAGCCCGCCTCGACCAACACTCTTACCTTGCCTATGAGACGGACCACTTCTCCATTGAAGCCTACCAGCGGGATGTCGGTTGGTTGTAAATCTGCCTTGCCAAGCTCCATACGCTTGAAGGCCTCCGAAAACAGAATATCTGCCAAGCTGCCGGAGTCAACCAAAATTCTCTTCACCCTGAAGTCATTGATTAACAATTTAACTACTAAAGCATCATCATGTGGGTACTGGATCCCACACATGTCATCTTTGGTGAAGTAGATCACTTCTTTCCGAGGGCGCTTGGACTGGTTGCTTTCTTCTTGTTTCAACTCTCTAACTGAGTTCATACCTGCTGATGTAGTGCAGCCAACGACGATCGAACCTCCCATGATCACGTTAATGGCCCCTTGGGCCTGTCTTTCTGGCTACTACTGGTTTCGGGGAGCTGGCTCTGGCTCCCTACTGGCTTGAGGCACTTCTCTACTAGGTCATTCTTCAGTTCGCCGCTCATCCTTAATGAATTGCCTCAGGTATCCTCTCTTGATGAGATCTTCAATCTCATTTTTCAAGTTCCAACAATTCTTCGTGTCGTGTCCTACGTCTTTGTGGAAATGACTATTTGTTCGGGTTCCAGGTGTTGGGGTCCCCCTCATCTTGGGTGGCCATTTCATATAGTCGTTAGACTTGATCTGCATCAGAATCTCCTTTCTTTTGGTGTTTAGCGGAGTGAAGGTCCTGGTATAGGCAGGTGGTGTTACTAACTGCTTGCTCAATCCTCTGGACGGTGACTTGCTTCTCTTGCACGGTGAGCTACTGCGCCTACCTTTTGGTGATTAGCTTCTATTTGGAGACTTACTTCTTCGCTTTGTTCTGCTGTTACTTGCTTCTTCCTCAGCTCATTTCCCTTTCCCGAACAGGTCAGGCTTTGATCCTACTGCTTCTTCAGCTTTGATGAATTGGTTCGCTAAGTTGAGAAATGCCTCCATGGTAGCTGGAGGGTGTAATTCAATTTCCCATTTCAGCTCAAGGTGTTGTACCCCGTTCTTAGCTGTGATAAGTTGTACAACAGGGTCTAGGTCTGGGATCTATAGGCACTCCATGTTGAATCTCCTGATGTACTCCCTCAGCGTTTCTTTTGGTTTATGGGTCACATTTAGCAGACAGGTCGCCGATTTGGAATGTCTCTTGCTTGTGGCGAACTGGTCCCAAATCTTAATGGACTTGGGGGCTAGTCTAGATTACAAGAGCTAGGCTTCTTCTTTTAATGTTGTCGAAAAAGCTATGCACATACTTAAATCGTTTGCCCCATGAAGTAGCATGAGGGCCTGGAAACTGTTGGCATGCTCCATTGCGTCAGTTTTGCCTTCGTAAGATTCTAGGGCCGGTGCCCAAAAGTTATTTGGTCTTGGGGCCTTAGGGATCTCAAGAGCTAGTGGAGTTTCTTGAGTCAAGCATGGTGATTCAAAGAGGGAAACCATCCTATTGGTGGCTGCACTCTTTCCTTCATTCTGGGCTTCGCTACCTACCCGAGCGAGCTGGCTCTTTTTCCCAGCACGGTGCGTATGTCTCTTGTGTTTCTTCTTGACACCTTCAGTCGAGCTAGCGGCTTCGGTCTTAGCAAGAACCTCAGCTTGGCTTTCTGTTGGGACTTGATTATTCTGGGCTGCACCATCAGCGTGGTCTCAGTTTTCATCTCTATTGGGGACCTGAACCTGGCTGCGAACCCGTAGGCGAGCTGGATCTTCATGGTCAGGTTGGTTCAGGCCGATGTTCTGCGGAGGTACCTGGTAGCTATTTCGAGATATTTGCTAACTATTCAGAGGTACTTGTTGATTGTTCGGAGGTACTTGTTGACTGTTCTGAGGTACCTGTTGGCTGTTCCGAGGTACCTGCTGGAGGGGTACTTGTGGAAATCGTTACCGTTGCTGTCATTGTTGCTGCTATTGTTGTTGTTGTCTGGCCATGAAGGCAAATCTATTTTCCCAAGACCTGAGTTGTTCAGTCATCCCTTGCACGCATTGCCCCAGATCATTGAGCTGCTACGGGCTCGACTGTAGGAGGAGGCACGCTCACATTGTCCAGTACTTCAGTTGGGTGTAAGGGAACATCAATCTGGCCTATGGTGACGGTGGGGATTTGGCCATTGATGTTGTTGTTAGCAGAAGGGTTATTTGAAGATGCCATTGATGGGCTTTTGAAAGAGAACAAAAGAAGGGAACTTAGCTTTTTGTTGTGTTTCCCACAGACGGTGCCAATTGATGATGTGCGATTTGGACGCTCCCTCGTGTGCAATGACTTGGACTCTAACTGTGTGTCAATCTGGTTGGACCAAGTTTGTGTGCTGAGCTGATGCTTATTCGTCCAAGTTGAAGTGATCTGCAAGGAAAGAAGGGTGAGAGTGCCTAGGTAGGTTTTACCCAGGGAGAACACTCTGATGCTTAAGTCAGAAAGAAGGTATGGAAATCTGTTGTGAGTGTAAGAGAGCTTAAGTGTACCAGTGCGCATACCTTTCTAGGTAGATTCGGAGTCCTTTTATAGTTATCAGGGGTCCAAAAGCCTTGGGTAACGTCTCTGAGTCTTTGGTGGAGCTGTTTCCGCAAAATTGTGGTGGTTATGAGTCGCTCGTTTAAATTGTGGGGCACGGTTCAGCGAGCTACTCTCACAGCTGCGATATTGGCGCCCTCGAGAGTGGGGCATACGAAACGGCTTAGGCGAGCTCGCCTCGCTGGTTGCCCAAGCTTATCCTAAATCGGCTGTCTTCCTGGTCGGTCTGCACGAGGTGCTCCAAGCTGACCCGTTGAGGTGATCTGCTGACTTGGCGTTGTATTGTTCATAACGTTCGCGTCTCTCTATCGTCAATGAAATCAAACGGGGCCTTCCAACATGAAATGTCCGAGGTTTGTTGGGCTGGGTTGAAAATGATCACCCAAGTCCTGTGGTAGAACCAACAGCTAATAAATATGTACTTCGTAAGAAAACAAAAACAAAATAGAAAGGTAGATGATCTCCATTTGGGAGTGGTAGGAAGAGAAAGGTTAGGTGCAACGTGAAAGATCTTTCTGTTTCGTTGCTTTAACATTAATACGTAAAGACAATAAATGAACATTTTCTTTTTCTATTTTACTTTTTTTGCTAAACAAAAGAACTTAATTTATATTATAGTATCAGCTCGTGCTTCAACCCTTCAGTCAGATACCCACCTTCCAGTCGTTTTTAATTCATATCAAACACATACAGAAGACACTATACCAACACAGCTCCTAATATGATCTATAGCCGCATTGATGGGATCGTACTTTTGAGATGGCAATCATGTTCGAGATGTGCGGGTATAGATCATATTGGAAGAAGCTGTGTTTATAGCAGATCCATACTAGCTCTATTTTAGATTCTTCTGTCACAACAACCTTAATCAACGTTTAGCTTCAACAAACGGTTAAGCTGTTAGGATGATGGCATTTTTTGTCCAACTACCTAGAAAAAAAAAATGAAAAACTTGAACATTTTTTTTAAGTTCAATCTATAAAAGGCAACACGTAGCTTGGATTGGCTGTAGAGGAAGTCTTCATTTGGGATCTACAGCTATCAGATTGAGAGTGTGAGGAGAGTCAAAGGAGAAAAGAAATAAAATAATTGTTGTAATGGCTCAACCACTTGCAGTTGCGTCTAGAGTTGAGAGCTTGGCGAGCAGTGGGATCGCTTCAATCCCCAAAGAATACGTGCGTCCTCAAGAAGAGCTGATCAGCATCGTCGACGTGTTTGAGGATGAGAAGAAAATCGATGAAGGACCTCAAATTCCAACTGTTGATTTGAAGAGTCTCAATTCGGAGGACCCCGCAGAGCGAGAGAAATGCAGGGAGGAGTTGAAGAAAGCTGCCATGGAGTGGGGTGTCATGCACCTTGTCAACCATGGCATCTCTGATGATCTCATCGAAAGGGTCAAGGCCGCTGGTAAGACCTTCTTCGATCTCCCCATCGAGGAAAAGGAGAAGTATGCAAACGATCAAGCCTCCGGCAAGATTGCCGGGTATGGGAGCAAGCTGGCTAACAATGCTAGTGGCCAGCTCGAGTGGGAGGATTACTTCTTCCACCTCATATATCCTGAAGGCAAGCGTGATTTGTCTATGTGGCCCAAGACTCCTGCCGACTACACGTAAGTTTATCATCGTAAATCCGTCCTTTTTGGTACTTGGCTTGTTCTTATTAACTGGGTTCTTGATATTTTTGATTTGGTTGATGACTCATGATCATGGCGCGCCCATGGTTGGCCGTGCAGTGAGGTGACGAGCGAGTACGCGAGACAACTTAGAAGCTTGGCGACCAGGGTGTTTTCAGCACTGTCGCTGGGGTTGGGACTCGAAGAAGGGAGACTGGAAAAAGAAGTCGGTGGAGTAGAAGAGCTGTTGATGCAAATGAAGATCAACTACTACCCCAAGTGTCCCCAGCCGGATCTAGCACTTGGCGTTGAAGCTCACACCGACGTCAGTTCTCTCACCTTCATACTCCACAACATGGTACCTGGTCTGCAGGCGTTCCAGGACGGTAAGTGGGTGACGGCCAAGTGCGTGCCCAACTCCATCATCATGCACATAGGAGACACCGTTGAGATACTGAGCAATGGCAAATACAAGAGCATCCTTCACAGAGGACTGGTGAACAAAGAGAAGGTTAGGATCTCGTGGGCGGTCTTCTGCGAACCACCCAAGGAGAAAATCATCCTCAAGCCACTACCGGAGCTCGTCACTGAAACAGAGCCCGCGCGCTATCCGCCTCGCACCTTCGCTCAGCACATCCAGTACAAGCTGTTTCGTAAGACCCAGGAAGGGGCACTTCTTACTAAATGATTCTATCGGCATTGAGCGTTCGATTACGCGTCTCGTGCTAATTTGTCCCCTTTCATTTTGTTCTCTGCTTGTCCCTCTCATTTCTTAATCTCCCCACCTACACGGTTGCATTGCTGCCGTTGCTACATAAGTTGGAATGTACCTTTCGCATTAATCATTAAATAAATAGTTTATTGTTATTTTTTATAATAAAATAATTTCTTGTTATAATACTTTTCAACTTGGCACGTATTCACACCACACATATCTCAGACGGATTAACCTTGGCTGTTCCTATGCCATGCTATTGAGACAGTTTCTGGGCAGTTCGTATATTCACGCCCATGCTTTTGTTTGTAGTCAAAATAAATTAAAGTAACGTGGCCTCCAACGGCTAAAATTTTTCCATCACAGTACATATAGTATATTATTGTACAGTTCGAGATCTCCTACTCACTACATCTTGTCCTTCCGATGAAATTAATGACATTATGACAGCTGTCTCAATTCCACGTGACATCAACACAAATGTAACGATTAACATTAACACCAAAGAAGATTAAAATTTTGTGTACTATATTAAAACCCTGAAGTCTAATATTGGAGTGATCACTTTTGGCCCAGCCCATCACAAAATTTCTAATCTTAGGGCTTTTTTGTGTTCACAACATTATTGGTTTGCACATTATCAACAAATGAACATGCTACTGCCACCTCAGAAAGAATTTGAACATCACTTTTATTATCAGATGAGATTTTTCATACATTTTGAGAAAGCAAATATCCATTCCTTTATCCCAAGAAAAATTATCATTTTCTATGTGAATCCCAGATAATTTGTCTATAGTTTATAAATTGAATTCTGCCATGGTGTTAAGGAAGGTGGTGCCTAGGTGATATACAATATTATTACCATAGTTTAAACAAAGAAAATCCTCTTAAAATCTCGATGAAACGTGATTAGGGATGGCAATTTTTCTTGTCCCCCTTCGGGTATTTGGTTCCCCCAACAAAAAAAAAAATGGATTTACAGTTCTAACCCCTATACTTTGCGATAAGGCTACTTCTGCCTTTCTACAATTGGAGGGGCTAATTTAGACCTTAAACTTAAAACAAAAAAAAAGACCACCATTAGCCCTAAAATGAGTGTTAGTAATGTTATTCACAATCCATTAAATAATGAATAAAAGAATATAAAATGCTGATGTGGCATCATTAAATTTAAAAACTGAAAAATTATAAGTGGGTTCCATTGAATAAAATAAAACTACTTATTATATAATTAAGGGAAAATTCCTTATCAATATCCTGTATTTTGGCTCGAGTGACAATTTGGTCCCCGAACTTTAAAATGCAACAATTTAGTACCCAAACTTTCAAAATGTGACAATCCAGTACCCGGACTTTCAAAATGTTACAATCCAATACCTGCTGTTAAATGACATTTGAAAAGTCAAAAATTCCCTAAAAATGCCATCTAATTCTCTTTATCAATCATCCAAACATTGACAATATAATGAATAGTCCCAAATTCTAGATTCTTCTAAACACGTCACCAACTTTTCTGAATAGAAGAGGCTAAGATTTGGGACTGTTCAGTTTTTTGTCAATGTTTGAATGGTTGATAAAGAGGATTAGATGGCATTTGAAGGGCATTTTTGACTTTTCAAATGTCACTTAACAGCTAATTAACGGACTAGTTAACAACGAGTACTAGATTGTCACATTTTAAAGTTCGGGGACCAAATCGTCATTCAAGCCAAAGTACAGGGTATTGATCGGGAGTTTCTCCTATAACTAATAAATGTAGAAAATAATAGATAAATGGGTCTCACTCGAAACTTTCTCTTTTCAAAGAAAAGTAATAGGTGGGCCTCACTTGAAATTTTCTCTTTTAAGAGAAATTATTAGGTGGGTCCCACTTAACTTTCCTCCTTCAAGAGAAAAATAATATGTGAGGCCCATCTCTCTCTCTCCTCTCTCTCTTGCGTGCGCGCACTAAGGTCACTAAAAGTCTCCTTGGACACAAATGGACCCATTAAAGATAAAAATTCAGCTATCCTTGTGGAGTGATGGGCTAAACCCGTGAATCACAATCTTCCATGTAATGGTGTGGCTCCACCTTAAATTGGATGAAGTGATATAAAGTGAAACCACAACAATAAGGCTGTCAATGGACTCCAAATCCAATTATATTGGATTTGAATGTTAGAACTTAATCTGATTGATAATTGGACTGGATGTGGATTTAATTCTACCCGATTTGATTAAAATTCAAGTCCAATAAAAATCATTATTTTATGTATATATGTAATATTATTATGTATATGTAGGTATATATATATATATATATATATATTATGAATAATTATATAAAGTTCATAATTGATAAATTTAATATATTATATTTATAAATTTATTTAACATATATAAATTAAAAATAATTGAGTTTTTAATATTTTTAATTTTTTTGGTCATTTTAAACACAACAAGGTGGTTTTGGATTAAATCCAAATTCAGTCCAAAATCTAACATTATAATCAGATGTAAATACGGATCTAGAGGTTTTCTAATGAGATGCAGATATGGACGTAACTGGATCCAATTGGAATCCAATCCATTTACAGCTCTAAACAGTAATTCATCAAAGGCATATTTCAAGGTTGTAGCCCAATGCTACAACACCGAGTGGAGTAGCTGATTTCTCCTCTCAGTTAAACCTATTTCATTTCTGGATTTGCAACTGATGAATCTATATCTATATAATAAAGAGGAAAGAGAGGAGGCAAGGGTCCTCTCACCATATTGCCCACACGTAGGCATTGCTTTTCTCAGTTCTTACACGAGTGAGTTTTCTATTTTGAAATTACCAAAATGATCATTTTTGTCAATAAATTACCTCCTCCATCCTTCTGGGCCCTCTATGGTTCTAATATAAATATTTATTATTTTCTACTATAAAATGTTTAATTGGCTTTGATTCACTCTCTCTCTCTCTCTCTCCCTCTCTCTCTCTCTCACCCCACTCAACCTCTTTAAATCTCCTAAGATCTTTCCTAAATACATGTTCCTTTTCTTACTCACACTCCCTAAAAATAAATGCATGTTCAATTGCTTTGACGCCATGTTTGGGAGTGCTTAAGTTAAAAATAAGTGCGTTTGCTTATTCGAATAAGCACTTATTTGCATTTGGCACCCAACTTTTTCAAATGCATATTTTTTAAAATAAGCACTTAAATGAGCATTTTGTGACTATTATGTCCTTCATTTTCTTTCAAATTTTCAAAATATACCCTTTGAAAGCACTTTTATTAAATTACTTTATAAAAATACTTTTATGAATGTACTTTTATAAAAACACTTTTATGAAAGTACTTTTATAAAAATACTTTTATGAAAGTACTTTTATGAAAACACTTTTATGAAAGTATTTTTGTGAAAGCACTTTTAAGAATGCACCCTTACAAAAGTACTTTTGTGAAAGTAATCTTATGAAAGCACTTTTGTAAAAGTCTTTTTACAAAAGTACTTTTATAAAGTGTTTTCATAAAAGTACTTTCACAAAAGTGCTTGCATAAAAGTTCTTTCGTAAAAGTACTATAGCAAGTGTTTTTGTAAAAGTATTTTCTTAAAAGTGCTTTCATAAAAGTACTTTTATAAAAGTGTTTTTGTAAAAATACTTTCATTAAAGTACTTTTGTAAAAGTGCTTTCATAAAAGTACTTTTATAAAATTCAACTAGGGATAATTTTGTAAGTGGTGTTTTTAAAATTCAATTAGGGATAATTTTGGAAGAAAAAAATGAATTAGTACTTATTGTATAAGCACTTTAAAAAAGCTAGAAATTTGGGCTTAAAAAATAATCTCTTGTTTTTAAAATAAGCACTTATTTGGGGCTTATTTCCCAAATACCAATAAGTGCTTAATGGCCCAAATAAGCACTCCCAAACATGACCTAATTAACCCAAGATTTAATCTATTCAGACCTTTCTTTCCTAAACACACTTTCTCTCTCTTACACACATGCTTGTTCAATTGCTATAATACCCAAGATTTAATCTATTCAAACCTTTCTTTCCTAAACACACTTTCTCTCTCTTGCACACACACTCTCCCTAAAAAGTAATGTATGCTCAATTGCTCTAATTAACCCAAGATTTAATATTTTCAGATCTTATTTCCCTCTGACCTTTTTCATCATCCCTGTTTTTTCTAAGCTCTCTCTTATCACCATGAACAATGGAGATTGCAGGAAATGACGATGGTAAGTCCATTTCCTTAGTTCATTTCTAAGCTCTCTCTAATCACCCAACTTTTTCAAGTGCTTATTTTAAAAATTAAGCATTTATTTCATATTGGGTGTTAGTAGTCTTTTTCTCCAATAAGCGCTTAAATAAGTATTTATGACTATTTTGTCCTTCATTTTCTTTCAAATTTTCAAAATATAGCCTTATGAAAGTGCTTTTCTTAAAGGGAAATGCCCAATTAGTACCTTTTACTTTGTGCCTAGTGTCATTTTGGTCCCCAAACTTTAAAATGCAACAACTCAGTACTCAAACTTTTAAAGCGTGTCAATATAATACCTACCATTAAATAGTTGTTAACCAACTGTTAAGTAGAATTTGAAAAAGACATAAATTCCCTTTGAGTGTCATTTAATTTTCTTTATAAACAATCCAAATGTTGACAAAAAATTAATAGTCCCAAAGGACACTCAAAGATGGTTTATAAAGAAAATTAGATGACACTCAAAGGACATTTGTGTCTTTTTCAAATGCCACTTAACGACTGATTAACAACTAGTTAATGGGAGGTACTGGATTGACACGTTTTGAAAGTTCAAGTATTGAGTTGTTGCATTTTAAAGTTCGGGGACCAAAATGATAGTACGCCCAAAGTACAAGGTACTAATTTGGAATTTTCCCTTTATTAAATTACTTTGATAAAAACAGTTTTATAAAAATACTTTTACAAAAGCACTTTTATGGAACTACTTTTGTTAAAGCACTTCTACAAAAAGTACTTTTATGAAAATACTTTAATAAAAGCACTTTATAGAAGCACTTTGTAAAAGTACTTTTATAGAAGTACTTTTATGAAAGCATTTTAATAAAAGAACTTTTATGAAAGTACTTTTATAAAAGCACTTTTATGAAAGTACTTTTATAAAAGCACTTTTATGAAAGTACTTTTATAAAAGC